GACTATCTATTAGTGGTTTATACAATTTTTTAAAGTTAATTTCTAAATCATCAACACCTAATCTTTCATTCAATGTATTATGATATATATTTTTTCTTAATTCTATTAATTCTTTAATCATTTGATCTCTTTTTTCAGGATCTGTAGCTTTTAAAAATGGCATTTTATATATGCAATAATTTTTTAAATTATTTTTATAATAAAGAACATAATTTATGTTTTACTTGAACATAAATTATGATTTAATTAATATTTTTATTAATTAATATTTATTTTGCTAATATTTTGATTTTTATTAAACCTATTCTCTAACAATTCCATCGCCTCTTTCATAGCTTTTTCTTTTCCTTCATTAAATATTGATTGTTTAGTTTGTTCATCAATTTCATTTTTAGATTTTTTTATAATTTCTTCAATCATTTTTTGGAACTTTTCATATTCTGAAAGTATCATTGTAAATTCTACATCATCGATTTTACCATCTTTTAAAGCTTTAGAAATATGATCACTTATAGTATTTAACTTTGCATCGGCTAATACTTTAATCTTTTCATGCTTTTCTGCTTTTAAGTTTAATTTTTTATTAACTTGTGATCCTATTAATGATAATAAACCAATACCTAATGCCGTACCTTCACATACAATAGCTACTGGTGTTCCAACTATTGTTGTTAAAAAACCGATACCAACAGCTCCAAGTGTCATAGTAGTTGCTAGTAATGAATTATCAACAACTGAAATTATTCTTGAAGCTCTATGATACTTTTTACTTAACATAGCTCTTTTACTTTTTTCACATTCGATTTTACCTTGAATTTCACTTATCTTATCTAGTCGATATCTTTGATCAATAGATTGGTGCAGTTGGATAAACTCTAAACTGACTTATATCTGGATAAATACTTTTACATTCCTCATTATTGTAATCCATTCTTTTTTATAAAGAAACATTTCTTTTAAATTACTTTAATAAATTATGTTTATGATAATTAAATCTCCTATACCTTTATTTACCAAAATTAAATATAGATTTAGCAGAGTTTTGATTACTTTGTGATCTATCACTGTCTTTATCTATACTTGATAATATAGATTTAACAGAGTCTTTATCACTTTGTGGCTTTTCTTTTGGTTTTACATTTTTAGCTTCGTTAGATCCTTTGGATCCATAAGAATTAGATATATAATTAATTCTATTTATAATTCCGTTATAAGGTAAGATGTAGAATAAACAACTTCCTTTTTTAATTTTTTTATCTTCTTTTTCATCATTATTATATAAAGTTACAACAATATTATCAGTAGAGCATGCTATTACAGAATTAAACAAGTATAAATATGGCTTATATTCTTCTGATAGTGCAACTAATGCATACCCTTCATCTATTCTAACTCCACATTTTGAATCAATACACTTGTATGAATTTGATTTTATTATAAAATCTCGTTCAGCAAATACTTTACATTTTCCATTATTAACTACTGCATGATGCTCTGAATCTATATTAATAGTTAAAAAAATACTTATTTTTTGTCCAATATAATTTTGAGTATATCCCATTTTGTTTATCGACATTTTTTATAAAGAAAACATTTTAACTTAAATTAAAAAATGATATAAATAATTTTCTTTATAAATAAAAAAAATGGATGTCATAGATTTATCGTGGAATGTAAATAGAAGTAAACGTAATAATAATAAGTTATTACCTAAAAGTATAAGAGGAATTATTGTAGGAAAGTCAGGTTGTGGAAAAACAACTTTATTATTAAACTTACTTTTAAGACCTGGTTGGTTAGATTATAATAATTTACAAGTTTTTGGGAAATCTCTTTTTCAACCAGAATATAAAATATTAAAAAGTTCATTTGAAAAAAAATTACCAAAAAAGGTTATTATTGAACTTTTTAATTTACAAAATAAAATAGAAAAAATGAATGTTAATCCTGAGCTTATTATTGAAGACATTTCAAAAAATTTAAAAGAGAGAACAGATATTGAATGCAAGTTTTTTGAAACAGCAGATGATGTACCAGAACCTGAAGATCTCAACTCTAATAAAAATAATTTAATGATATTCGATGATTTACAATTAACAAAGCAAAACAAGTGTGAAAAGTACTATATAAGAGGAAGACATAGTAATGTTGATTGTTTCTACTTAGCTCAAAATTATTTTGATATACCTAAGAGAACGATAAGAGAAAATGCAAACTTTATATGCTTGTTTCCGCAAGATGCAAAGAATTTAAATCACATTTATAATGAACATGTTTCAAGTGACATGCCGAAAGCTGAGTTTAAAAAATTTTGTATTGAGGCTTGGTCTGAACCGCATGGATTTGCTGTTATTGATTTGTCTTCTAAAAGAGATTATGGAAAATATAGAAGTGGATTAGATAATATTTATATAACAGATTGTGCATTTTCATAAAAATATATATTTTTTAAAATATATATTTATTTATGTATTGATTCTAAAGATGCCTAAAGAAACAAATTTAATAATGGGATATTCTTAAATGGTGAATTTTCACCTAATAATAAACCTTTACCTACTTGTGAATATGTTTTTCCATTTTTTACATACAATCCATTACCTGAATAACTACCACTATTAACCCATGGATCGATAAATAATCCGTTTCCTGCAACTCTAACTTTAATTCCTTGTCCATTTTTTTTCATGTAGACAATACCATTTCCAGCAATTTTATTAACTATAGTACTTCCAGCTGCAGCAGCTGTTCCAGTCAGTAATCCTGTTGCGATTGCTGGAACAACTTTTGACGCAATTACACTTCCAATTAATCCTAGCAAAGGTAAAAACCCTCCATTTACTTTAGCGTTATGTTTAAGTTGTGCTCTACTTAATGTAAGTGTTATACCCTTATTTTTTAAATAAGCTGCTTTCATTTTATTTCTTTGTGAATCTGTTAAAGCTATTTTATGTTCACCATTTAAATCTTGATGTGTTAGTTTTATAACAGCATTAGTATCAGATTCAATTGCGTTTTTAATTTTTTCTTTCTGACTTTCTGAAAGATTTATAAGAGTATCATAATATATTGTCATTTTTATATATGCAATAATTTTTTAAATTATTTGCATAGTTTCATAAAAATTAATACTATTCTATTTAATATAATATTTTTTAAAAATTGCTAGTATTTCACTTAATAGATATTCATTTCTTTTTAAAAGTCTTACAGTATCACCAGGTTCAACACGTTCTCTAATATGGTACTTAATAGTTAATTGTTCCCCTAGATTTTCAAGGAGATGCCCATCCTGATCTACTAAAGTAGTTGTTATATTTATAAATGATTTTGATGTCATTTCTGAATAAATTGGATAATCTACTTTTTCTGTAATTTTAAATCCAACACCAACTTTCGGAAAAAATGAATGTATAACATTTATAACTTTATTATTTACACGTACAGCTTTAACAAGATTATTTGTGATATGTATAGTATTATAATGCATTAAATTAGTTATTTTTTCTGATATATTACTTCCTCCACGATATATTTTACTTTCAAAACCTAAAACTTCTCTAATTGAATTTGAAATTGTAAAATCAACTTGAAACCTTGGTGAAAGAGTCATATTTGTACTCATTGTAGCAACTTCTGCTGCAAATGTAATTGTACCAGATAAATGACTTTCTTTTAGTAAATGATCATCTAAGTAATTAGTTAAAGATGCAAGTCCATATGCTCCTTTTTTAAAAGTGAAATTTACCCAATTACCACCATCATCTGTACTAAATCTAAATTTATTATTCGTTTCATTTATATTAGGAAAAGTATTATATGTATCTAATCCTAATACAGCTATTTCATAATTTTTATCTTCATCTAGTTCGATATTTTGACCAAGCGTAGTATTTATAACAGTACCTGCTCCATGTATAATTATCTTCATTTTATATATACATATATTTTTTTATATCATTTTTATGATATAAAAAATTACTTTACTTCTCTTAGATGAAATTGTAATATTATTCTTCCATTACTAAAATCTATAGAATTTTTTTCATCATCTATTACTTCAACTTTCATTTCTGAAAGTTTTTTTGTTTTTAATGGGAAATAACTTCTATGATTTGGTTCTTCAAAAAAACTTACACCTGAAGATCTAGTCATTGGTAAAAATGAATAGATTACACTAGTGTTATTACCATATATATTTATTCCATCTACAATATTATTTAAGATATAATAACAAATTATTTTTGATGAAATTGAATAGTTAACATATTCTAATTTAATTAAGGCCATTTCATACTCTTTTGTTTCATCTAATTGAATATCTTTTTCATTAAATTTAATTTTAAGAATATTTGATCCATTAATATTATTTACTTGAATATATTTAGATTTCACATATGACATTTTATATAATCACAAATTTCTTTAATATATGTTACTCTTCATCTTCACTTTCTAAATCATCATCATTAATATAAATTCTTTCTATCTTATACTCTTTATCGTATACAACTGCATCTAATAATTTTACAAAAAAAAAACATTACTTATTATTAAAAATTTATTTTAGACTCTTGAAAATGATTTAAAAAAATTATCTTGATAATAAAAAAATGGCAAATTCTGACACATTAAATATTACAGAAAATCCAATAATTGATGAGAGTATTGAAAAATTTGAATACCATGAATATTCTCCTAAAATTGCAAATTTTGATAACCCTGGTACTGAAATAAGTATAACTATTAATGAGGAAAGCTTGTTTACACTTCCATCTGAAGCTTATATTTTGATTGAAGGAAGACTACTAAAAGCAGATGGAACATCTTATGCTAATGCAGATGCCGTAACACTTATAAACAATGGTCTTATGTACTTATTTACTAGAGCAGAATATCAATTATCTGGTCAAAGTATAGAAAATATTAATTATTTAGGTAGAGCAACTACAATGTTAGGATTACTCAAATATCCTAATTACTTTTAAAATGTCCAAGGTATGAACCAATTATGGTTTAGAGATTCATCAACGACTGCAGCGATTGCAACAAATCTAGGATTTCAAGCAAGACAATCTTATTTAATTCAAGAGCCAAACACAAAAGGAAAATTTTCCTTTTGCATACCTCTAAAACATATTTTTGGATTCTGTGATACTTATGATAAAGTTGTTTTTGGATTAAAACATACACTTACTCTAATTAGAGAAAGTGATAATAATGCAATTTTTAGAGGCACAGGTGCAGCTGTTGGGCAAGTCAATCTTACTAAAGTATCACTTTTTATGCCACATCTTATGCCATCTCTTGAATATGAAAAAATACTTAAAGACATAATTAAATCAAAAAAAACACTTCCATTATCTTATATTGGAAGGCAATGTGAATCAAAAAATGTTGATCCAGTTACTGATTTTAATTGGACGCTGAATATAACAACAACTAGTACAAAACCTAGATTTATTATTATCGGATTCCAAACAAATAAAAATAACAATCAAGAGCAAAATCCTGCAATATTTGATCATTGTGACTTGAAAAATATGTACATAAAACTTAATTCACGAAGTTATCCTGAAATTGTTAATTATAATCTATCATTTCCAGATCAACAATTCTCAAGAGCTTATAGAGATGCAACTCTATTTACTGAAAAGTTATATGGATTGAATGAATTTATTTCACAATGCAGCATAAATCCACAAGACTATAAAAATTTATATCCACTTTTTGTTTTTGATGTAAGTAAACAAATGAAAGTTACAAAACCATCAATAATAGATGTGCAATTTAACGCAACATTTAATACAGCTGTTCCAGCAAATACTATGGCATATGCAGTTATATTGTCTGATCGAATATTACAACTTAATGCTGATGGAAGCAAACTTCAATATATATATTAGATCTCTTTATGAACTGATCAATCAAATCACATGACCTGTGACGTCACAGCAAGAAAAATCACGTGACATTTTCCGACAAGAAATAAAAAATTAACGCTTATTTTAAAAAATTCAATTTTTTCAAATTTATATAAATTTGAAAAATTATTTCTTATATAAATAATTATTCACATCATGGTTAGAAATGAACCCTATATTTTTTAAAATATATGGTTGAAAATATGGTTGAAAATGAAAATAAGCAAATACCGGCAATCTCTTACTACTGACGTCTGTTTTCTGGAGAATTGTTTTTGCGATAGATATAGAACAAGTTGTTACGATTTGAAATTACTGCAGCACAATGAAAGAAAAACCATGGAGAAGAGTGAGACCTGACTTGGAATTGTCTAGAACGAATGCAAATTTCCATGCTAGCCTAAATCCAAGAAGTTACATAAAAAGCCTAATAGTCAGCAGGAAGAAGAAAGTATTCTACCTAAGGGCCATCACAAAGAAAATCACAAAAAGAGTCCCAGTCAGCTTTAAGGTAGCTGTAAGAGGTACAATGATAGAGGAACTCTGATGATGAAGAAAAATAAGATAACAATTTTAGAGATATTAAACAGTGATTAGAAGTACCTAAGAGTGAATTTGGAGAAAACTGAGCACTGGCTCAGATCAGAAACTAGACATAAGTCAAGCAAAGAAGGTAAATAATTCGGATTTTCTAGAAAATCCGAATCATTTACCTTCTAGTGTTAGAGATTGAAAAAGGTAAGATTTTGGGCCTTAACAACTGCTGAGTCACTGACACTAGAATCATTCAGTGTGATAATCATTAAAGTCATTGAGACTTCTTTATTTTTTGGTAAAGAAACTGCTTCTAAAAGCTAGTCTCCTTCATAATTTTCATTTTTTATTAAATTCATTAAAACTTATTCATTACAAATGAATTCATTAAAACTAAAAAATAATTGCTTTATTAACGATATTTTATTATGATTTATTTATGATAGCTCTATTATAGCCCTATTTTTGTCTGATAACTATCTATTCTATTAAAATTTAAACATCCAAAAAAAAAATTAGGCTACTGTTATTTATATTTTTAAAAAAAAATAAGTATTTTGATTTCTTTATTATTGATTATTCGGAAAGTTCGAGTTATCCGTAAAAATTTGCTGAAAGGGCAAGAAAAAATGATTTGACATAACAAAATTCGAGTTATCTGAGTTTCGATTTACGCGGATAATTTTTATAATAGTCAATTAAAGTATTTCAAGGGACCAAATAAAACAGTTCAAGATAACAAAAGTTTGAGTTAACCGCTGTGGTAATCAATAAAATTAACAATAATCCCAAACATTCTAATCACGCGTCCTTTATAGACGGGAGAAGGCGTATGTTAACTTTACAAAAAATTTCCAACGTACCCTAAGACTCGCTCACTCTCTCTCCCCTTCCCCCCCCCCCCCCTCCCTCTCCATTAATTTTTATTTTTTATCAACAAAAAAGTTTCTTAAAACTTCAAAAAAGATTAGTGTAAAGCTGATCTTAAACAATAGAATATGTATGAGTTAATTTAATATTTATTTATTTTTTATTTGTAACTAATTAAAGCAAATATTTTTAGTGTAACCAGACTTTAAAACTGTCGGTCTAAAAAAAAGTCTCTTTAATATCGATTTTTGGTATTTTTTCCACACCATAAGGGCTGTGCATTAATAATGTCAAATTATAGGCGGAGGGACTTGTCTGAAAATTTAGAAAATTGTTGACAGGATCAAGAATTGTTGACGTCACCAATATTACTCTTTTTTAATAAACTTAATTTTAAAGCGTCTACACGAAATAAATCTGAAAGAGTAAATACGTCATTTTAATTCAGAGGTTGTATTAAAATACCTCCAATTGTGTTCGTATTTTGTTGGCAACATGTAACGATTTCAAAAAAATGTTTTAGTTTACTCACATAAATTAAAATAAGTTATAAAAATGACAAAACCAGAAGGCGTTAGAAAAAAAATTTTACACAATTATTATCGAAAATCTGAATAAAAGCTACGATTCAGTTACAAAAAAAGTTGCAAAAACATCCCTAATCTGTTAGTCACGTTATTTCACGTTTTCCCAAACAAACTTGATACAACTCAAATCTGGTAATGGAAAAAAGAAGGTTATTCAAGATATAACACTAGTTTGAAAATTGGTTAACAGTTTTATGAATAATCTAAGCCTCTCACTATGGGAACGCGTAAAAAAATTAAGATTTTTTTATAGTTTTGTTGTTAAAAATAAATATGTTACTGAGTCTTCACATTCTGGTAATATATATGTTAGAGAGTGTTTAATCCGTCTTTTGCCTCTTACTAAATCACATTATAGTAGAAATGTGTTCTGGCCTAATTTATCGTCAAGTTATTATAGCAAACTGGATTGGGATGATATAAACAAAATTACGTGAAAGTTGTGTTAAAAATAGCAAAATATCCAAACTGCCTATATTTCAAAATTATTGCAAAGTACTTTAAGTAATTATTAAGCGAAAAAGGAAATAAAAATAAAAATTATAAAGAAATGTTAAAGATTTAAAAATGTTATTTAAAAAGCATTAAATTTCATTTGAGTGTTGTTCTGTGCGTAAATTTATAGGTACCACCAAAGCAAAAGTTCAAAATTCCATTAGATGCCCACCGGAAAAAAATAATTTATTTGAAATATTTTATCTTCTTATATTAATGTATTAAAATTAATACTTAATTCTAAATAAAAGTTGATGAGTTCCTTTTTATAGTTGTTTTTCTACTTTCACACTTATTTCGCGTACACGCTTTACCAAAGGAAAATTAGACATCTTTATGGAAGATGTAGAGGCAAGAATATAAGATTTAATGTTGTTCGTAAAAAATGTTAAAAAATTAAAAGTGTTTTTATACTTTTAATTTCGTTTCTGCTTGAAGTTTTTATATAATTCTTTATATATATTTAAATAGTCTTTAAATTGTTATATCAATTTAAAATATGTTCATAGTTTAAATTTGTAATGTGTATACTTTTTAGTACGCCCTATAATATTTTTTATGTGTAAATCTTGTCTATATTATATCGCTGTCATTTATACAAAAATTTTAAAATTTTAAATTTTTAGGTGATTTATCTGGAGAGATTTATCTAAATTGTTTTACTAAATACTTTGCGTTTAAATAGGGTCGCATTTCTATTGTTCCATTATTGTTTTAAATTTGGTGTGCATGAAAAAATCCTTTGATAAAACAATGCCAAAGAAATGAAGGTAAAGATTTTGAAAAGGTGCTGTAAAGATCGTCAACTTTTTTGCAATTCTTGTAGTATTTTCCTTACCATTACCTTCCGCAACTTTCTGGAAGTCGTCCTATAACAGTACTTCCGAAATTGTCTCACAAATATGGAAAAATTAAATCAAGATAATGTACATAAAACTATTAATAGAAAGCTCTACCTATGCTTTTCTAGAAAATATATAATTTATTATCAAATGCCGCTATCATAAAAACAATTTCAGCAGTTTTTTTCATTCACCCGGCCTTGTATCTAGTAAATCTAAAAAAAACACAAACATGTCATTTATTTAATATATAAAACATAAAATACAACTAAGTAATTTTTAATTAATATATATAATATTTCAGTCTGATTAGCTCAGATCGTTGTCAGACGTAAACTAATCAATGTAAAACAATTAAGGGGCTCTCCATTAATTACGTCAACAATTTTTTTAAAATTTTTACCTCATCCCCTCCCTCTTGTCAACAATTTGTCAAATTTCTAGAGACCCCCTCCCTCCCCTATAAAATTACGTCAATTTTTGATATACAAAAAAGCTACGCTACAAACTCAGCCAAATTTTCCGTTATTTAAGCAATGAAACTCCAAAAAAAAAAAAAATTGTTGACATTAACTTTAATTTCCCTTTCCCCCTCCCCCTTGTCAACAATTGTCAAAAAACCTCAGACCACCTCCCCCCTATTTTGTTGACGTAACTAATGGACAACCCCTAATTAGTTAACCTCTTAATGGTGTCACTACTTTGATCAGACTTCTGTATGAGTGACACCATCCATACTAATCATTAACTTATTATAATAAGAAATAACATCTTTTTACTTATTATTATAGTAATTATTATTATTTATATTTATTTTTTGTTATATTTTTTTTTTTATTTGATTTATTTAATTTAATTTTCCGTTTTTGTTACAATTAAATTCCGTTATATAATACCAGATACTCTTATTCTTTCAAAAATAAACCAGTTATAAATATTAAAAATCAAAGACAAAATAATAAGAGTTAGTTATACAAAAATAAATAAAAACGCGGGAAACTTGCAGAAGACCATTAAGTCTTGTCATCAAGAACCGTTGTAATTATGTTTTTACAATATTAAATTCCTACAGTAGTGTTAAAATCAAAATTTAATTAACCAAGGTAAATAGTGTTAAAACCAAAAACTTTTTAATGTAAAAAGACAAAAAACAAAAAAACAAAGCAGTTTAAAAGAAATCTTTAATAAGATTTGTATACTTTGAAATATTCTTTTTTATTAGTTTTTGAAAGCAATTTATATTGTTTACACCAGGTAAATTACTATATTTTGCTAAGATTTTATTCCAGATATGCGGAGCACGATACGTAATTTTAAATTGTTCTTGTTTAGTTTTGCGCAATGGTTCAAGTGAGCCTGTTGTGCGTAGTGTATATTTAATGTTAGGTTTTATTTCATAAAGATCATTAAAAATTGAGGGGCATTGTTGAAATTTACTTTTGTACATGAGACATGAAATTTTATAAACGTTTATCTCGTATTACGTAAAAATAATCATAGTTTCAAACAGTGATTTTGCATGTTCGTTTTTATTTTTAAAATTATTCTTAAGGCATGTTTTTGTTTTTGATAGAGTGTTTCAAGCTTGCTTTTAGATGTACTACACCACGCAATATTCGCGTAAAGTAACTTTGTATAAAACTGAAATAGATTT